TGCTCAGAGATAACTTCTGACTCTGCCCTCAGGAATCACTCCTGGAGGTGCTCAGGGGACCATCTGAATGACAGAATCAGATCCAGGGTGGCCATGTGCAAGGCAAGTACACTCCCCGCTGAGCTGTCTCTCCAGCCTCCCGGATTCTGTTTTGATGAAGACAGTTGCGAGGTGTAGGAGTAGACCAGCTGTAGTGTCTTGGTTTCCCCATCTCACTCCCCGGGAGGTCGTTTCCTGCTGCCTTTTTCCTGGAACACGTGCAATAAAAAACAAGCACAAGCCGAGACTTGGTCCAGGTCTGCTGAAGTCTGGGGATCATCTCAAACTCAGCTTTGATTGCCTTTATGGTTTTGGAATCTGAGAGTACATGCTTAAGTTCTGAAACTGTAAATGAAGGCAAAAGCAGGGTCAAGAAGAGTGTGGATGATTACTTTTGGAGTTGCTTTAGGGAAGAAGAAATGGTAGATAAACGCTCCCTCTGTGGGTTGGTATTTGCTAGAAGGAGTGTGAAATCAGGTTACTCTTCCCTGCCTCTAAGGAGATGATCATCTTATTTGGGAGAGGAGACATAAGTTCTTCACCCATGTGAGGAATATTTGCCAGAGTGAAAAATGTCTTTCGTGCACAGTCAGTTCTTTGTGGGAATAGAAGACTGCTTTAAATTTAAGTAAATAACTACACCAGGGCTGGAGCGATAGATCAGCGGGTAAGGCCCTACCTTGCAGGTGGTCGACCTGGCTCCATCCATAGTATCCCATATCATCTCCTGAGCACTGCCGGGAGTAATTCCTGAGTGCAGAACCAGGAATAAACCCTGAGCATTGCTGGATATGGAGTGATAGTACAGCAGGTAGGGAGCTTGCCTTGCATGTGGCCGACCCAGGTTCGATCTCCAGCATCCCATATGGTACCCCGAGTACCAACAGGAGTAATTCCCGAGTGCAGAGCCAGGAGTGGTCAGGTGTGACCCAAAAAAGAAAAAAAAATGTTAACTAGAGACTTGCTCTCCAAGCCCAGGCTCCCCCTTGAAGACATATCTCCCTGGATTGTCTCAATGTTTCTTTTACTATTTCCATTCCAGAAAAGCCTGTGTTCTTTCTAGAACATGGACTTCTCCCTCTCTCCAACCTCACATCTTTCTAAATAAGTTTCTATGAAAACTTAATTGCTTTGCGCGCACATATGCAAGTGCACACACATGTTGACTAGAATTAGGTTTGTTTTGTTTGGGGGCCATATCCAGCATGCTCAAGGCTTTCTCCTGGCGAGTTTGGAGCACCATATGGGATGCCAGGACCAAGCCCGACTTGGCTGCATGCAAGGCATGTCCCCTCCCCAATGTACTGTCTCTCCTGCTCCTAGAATCAGACATCTTCACAGTGCCAACATTTCATCCAATGTATTGCACAATCATCACGAGAGGAAAAGAAGACTTTACACGCAAGAATCTGGCCTTCACCCTAAACCAGCCATCAGCTTTCAGAGTCCTGCAACTGGTCCAACTAAACATGAGCTCTTCCTGAATTATCACTGCAGGCAGACAGCATCCATCACCCATAAGGCATCTTGCTTAAAATTTATTTAACTGAATCTAATCAAGATTTTAGTTTAGTTTTGTTTTTTTGTAGGGTGGGGGGAGGGAGCATACCCGGCAATGCTCAGGGGTTACTCCTGGCTCAGGAATTATTCCTGGCAGTGCTTGGGGGACTGTATGGGATGCTGGGGATGTAACCGTTGCAAGGCAAACGGCTTACCCATGTCCTAATGCCCTGGTCCCTAATCTAATCAAGAGGTAAAGGTAAAGGTAAAGGCCCTCCCGTTGATCGTCGATTTGCTCGAGCGGGCCCAGTAACGTCTCCATTGGAGACTTTGTTGTTACTGTGTCTGGCATATCGAATACTCTCGGTAGCTTGCCGGGCTCTCCGAGAGGGGCGGAGGAATCGAACTCGGGTCGGCCATGTTGGCCGCATGTAAGGCGAACGCCCTACCCACTGTGCTATCGCTCCATATACATAACTTCTGATTAGAAAATATAAGGATTATACAAGATCTATAAAGAGACAGCACAGAGAAGTATATTAGAGGAAACATTCAGAGAAATCTAGGGGACAGAGTCAAGGTACAGCAGGTAGGGCACTTACATTGCATGCAGCCAACCCAGATTTGATTGTAGCTTCCTATATGGTCCCCCAAGCTTACCAGAATTGATCCCTGGGCACAGAGCCAGGAGTAAGCCCAGAGCACTGCTGAGTGGGGAGGTGCGGGGGGCGAGGGAGAGAAAGATGGAGAGTTCTGAAGAAAAAAAAATCTATGTTCATTCAGATAAAGTCCAAAATGAAGAGAGTAGCATGTCTTGGGGAAGTTAAGAAAAATAGAGAAATAAGGAGCAGAACAGAGATCTTACAGCACACAAGAAGATTGTCTTCAAGCTGCTGGCCAGTGTTGGGTCCCTGGAACCCCAGAACTCCTCCCGAGCCCTGCCAGGAGTGATCTCCCTGCAAAGAGCCAGAAGTAAGCCCTGAGCACCAACAGGTATGTCCCCAAAACTGAAAAGAAAAAAATGTGTGTGGGAGGAAATACAAGGAAACAGTGATCTGATGTTGCATGAATATTCTTTCAGTCGGAGGCACAGAGATAGAACATTCTAGAGGAATGTACAGAGAACGGAGGGCCAAGGCTCCTTCTGGCTCGAGGCTAAGAACAACTGCCAGAGGCCTCCTTTTATTCTGTTTTTTTTTTTTTATCAGTTACTACATCCTAATGACTTCATGACAGTGAAACACTCACTAGCGAGAGTACAAACAGTTATAGGATGAGCATTTGTCAAAAGAACATCAGGGTATGCATTGTCTTGTCAAAGCTAGGCTGTCAAAGCTATGTTGTTATGATTTAAAAAATGGCAGAGGAAGATAAGGAGCTGGACACGTAGGCTCTACAGATTACATCCCCCAAATTCTTGTGATCGGTTACACATAGAGCAAAAAGGAGGCTCATGCTAATACTTGAAGGTCAAACCAGATTAAGGATGTGTAAGAGAGGGGGAAACTGCTGCTGTGTACTGCCAAGATAGTGTGTGACCAGGCGGGTGTATAAAAGCATGCTGTACTCCAGGTCATCAGACTCACATTTTTTTTGTTTTGTTTTGTTTTTTGTTTTTTTTTTATGTTTTTGCTTTTTGGGTTACACCCAGCGATGCACAGGGGTTACTCCTAGCTCTTCACTCAGGAATTACTCCTGGAAGTGCTCGAGGGACCATATGGGATGCTGGGAATCAAACCCCGGGTCGGCCGCATGCAAGGCAAATGCCCTACCCGCTGTGCTAATCGCTCCAGCCCCAGATTCACAAGTTTTTAGCTTGCCCACTTAGTGAGAAGTTGGGCCTTAATTCTGCTTCCTGCTTGCAGGGCAGCATCTAGAGGTTCATCCTATTGTCCTGGTTTAGCACCAACTCAGATTGTGAAGGAAACAGCTGGGGGAAAGACACTTTGGGTACAATGTGAGAAATCTGAATCTGAATTGAGTGCGAACGATATTAGGGAATTGCAATTTTTGGTTAGATGGGAATCAGTTTGTTTAGGGGGAAGCATCCTCATATTTTGGAGATGTGTGTTATAATATTTACAGAGGAATCATACTGCCTTTTAAATACTTTTAAAAGGAAGAAGATATGGCAAATTCAGTAACAAGTCTGGATGATGACTCTGTGAGCATTTACTGTGCACTACTATATTTTCTCATGTGTGAAGGGCTGGAGCGATAGCACAGCGGTAGGGCATTTGTCTTGCACGTAGCCGGCCCGGACAGGCCGGGTTCGATTCCTCCTGCCCCTCTTGGAGAGCCCGGCAAGCTACTGAGAGTATCTCGCCGGCACGGCAAGCTCCCCGTGACATATCCCCGTGACATATTCATATACCAAACACAATAACAACAAGTCTCAAAATGGAGATGTTACTGGGCCCACTCGAGCAAATCAATGAACAATGGGAGGACAGTATGTTTTGAATTTTTTTTCACAGAAAAACTAGAAAGTTGAATGATCAGATTGAAGGTAAGAAAATTTACTTGTTGGGGCTACAGCGATACTACAGCAGGAAGGGCATTTGCCTTGTATGTTTCCACCCAGGTTTGATCCCCAGCACCCCCATATGGTTCCATGAGTACTGCCAGGAGAGATTCCTGAGTGCAGAACCAGTAGTAATCCCTGAGCATCACTGGGTGTGGACCCCTCAATATATTTCAATAAAAGAAAATTTACTTATTTATAGGGGGGCAAGAATAGAAGCAAAAACCCAGTTGAATGATGATTATCCTTGTGGCACGAGGAGCCCAGGGGTCCACAGAGGCTGGTGAATGTGGACAGAAGCAGGTGGTGGGAGGGGAAAGAAGGTTCTAGGTAGAGCTCAAAGGTCAACCATCTCTGAGAAATCCACATGAGTTCAACTCCCCACGTGCTCTCAGGCTCCTAGGGACGTAGGTTCTGGTAGCACCCTCATTTCTCAGAGCTGGAAATCTGGGCGCTCAGGACCTAAACAATTAACTGGCCCAGAGTTAGACCTGGAATGGGACAGGCACCCTAACCAGTGTCGCAGTGTCGCTCTCCCGGGGCCGTTTTGGACATGCGGGAATACTAGTTCCGTTTACCTGCGCTGTTCATCTTGGGGTGGGGGGTTGCGTCTGTAGACCACCACCCCATATACTTCTTATCCCCCACCCAACGGTAACCCTTTTCCCCAGTCCTTCAGAGATGGGTGTCGAGGTGATGCCCTAGGAGAAGAGTTTGCGTCAATCAGGGGGTGAGGACAAGTGGGAATTGTAGGGCGGCGCCTACTACTTGGGGAAGGAGGGTGGGGTGCGTGGGTTCACCCCCCCAAGTGAAGCTCTGACGCCACCTATGACGCAAATAAGCGTCAGAGCCGCGGGTGGGGGGCGTCGTCAGCTCCCGGTCCGGGTTGGCCGAGCCGCGGGAGAGGCGTGGAGACCCCGCCTCGGCGGTGGGCGGGGAGCGGGGGGCCCCGCCCCGACCCCTCCGGCTGCAGCTGGAGACGCGGCGGCTCCCGCAGGCGAGCGAGCGCGCCGAGCGCAGAAGGATGCGGCGGCCGCGGAGGCCACCCGGGGGGCCCGGGGGCTCCGGGGGGCTCCGCGCGCTCCTCTGCCTCCTGCTGCTGAGCGGCCGCCCGGAGGGCTGCAGCGCCGTTAGCGCCCACGGTCAGGAGGACACGGGGTGTCGGGCGTGGGGAGCCGGGTACCGGGAGCGCAACTCGGAGTGGGGGCTGGGGGCAAGCGTCACGAGGGACAACCGGAGTACGGAAGGGGGGGACCCGGAGGCCCGGTGCGGTGAGGAAGAGGAGGGAGCGGCGGGAGAGGAAAGGGGCGTTGGCCTGGAGGTGGGGCAGGGGCCACGGGCGGGGGGGGGGGGCGGCACCCAAAAGAAGCGGACTCCGAGGAGTAGGGGGTTGGGAGGAGAAATGGGGTGCGAGTGAGACAGAGGGCCATTGGGGTCGCAAGAAGAAGGGGGAACCGGTGCTGAGGACTGGGGAGGGGCGAAAGCCCCATCTCCAAGCGGGAGTCTGGGTCCCGAGTATTGGGGGGGTGGGGGTGGAGGGTGTCCCCGCTCCCCAGCGCAAGATCGGGTTGAATGAGGGGCCCAGACTTGCTTTTAAAAACTAGAGAGAAGCTGACGGCCGCGATGGGACCCCTGAAGGTGGGATGGGGGTGGGGGGCGGGGGGGGGGGAGAGAGAGACAGCAACGGGGCGGAGGCAGAATCGGGCGATGGGGATAGTGTCCCTCGCGGCCCCCTCCCCACTGCCAGGCCCGGCGCTGACTCACAACGGAGCGGACAGAGACGCTCGGAGCTGACTCACGGGCCGGGGGAGGGGGGAAGGGGGCGCGCGGGGGAAGGGGCGCAGCCTCGCCGTCTGGCGCCCTCCTCCCCGCACCCATCTCCCCCCTGGGCCGCCTGGAAGCCAATCCCGGGCGCTTCCTGTGTAGCTGTGGGGGGTTGGTAACGTGACGGCTGGAGCGGCGCAGGGCCCGGGGCTGAGGGAGGCTCGGCGCCCTCTCCGCCCTCCCCAGATCCCCTCCTGGGCTTCCCCGCCAGCCGGCCGCGGCTGCGGCTCCGGGTTTCAGCACCACGGACAGCGGTTCGGGCGTCGCTAGAGCGAACATCAGTGCTGATCCCCCCCACTCCCGCGGCCCTTTCCCACAGGAGGGGATCCCAAGGGAGTGTCAGGACATTAGAGTTGAGGTGTTTGGGGAGATTTAGTTTCTCTTTCCTCCGAAATTGGCCCTAGACTACCCCATTAGCAATGCCAAGGGAAGTATATGGGGCCTATCTCTCAGCTGTGCAAATAGACTTTTGGTGTTGTTTGGGGGCCATCCCTGGAGATGCTTAGGTGTTACTCCAGGCTCCGCACTCAGGAATAATAACTCCTGGCGGGGTTCAGCAGGCTGTAGGGGATGCCATGGATTGAACCCTAGTCCCCTGTATGCAAGGCAAATGTCCCACCCACAGTCCTATGGCTCCAGCCCCTGCTAACAGACTTCTAAGGAAAGGGCCAGACTGGCAGATCCTTACCCCATCTAGAGTCAGAGTAGATGCTTCCTACTCTTTCAGAGTCTAGGTTTTCAGAGCCACGAATGCAGCTGAACGGTAGAGCAGCTTCCTTGCTCGTGTGAGACCCTGGGTTTGATCCCTGGCCCTGGGGAGTGGAGAGATTCTGGGCCTCTTTCCACTTCTGGTTTAAAGTCTTCCTTAGAACAAGAGAGTGGGGGAGATGGGGGTGGAGAGCTAGCAGACTGGGAAGGCACTTCCCATGCATGAGGCCGACCCAAGTGCAATCCTCAGGACCCAAGTGCAAGCCTCAGCACCATGTACAATCCCCCAGGCACTTGCTGGAGTGATCTCTGAGCCCAGAGGCAGGAGTAAACCCTGGGTGCAGCCAGATGTGCCCCCCAATAGTGAGAGAATGCTTCCACGCCTCCAGCCGGTCGCCTGGCTGCTGTGTGCATGGCCAAGCCTCTTGCTGTCCCTCTGCAGGTTGTCTGTTCGACCGCAGGCTCTGCTCTCACCTTGAAGTCTGCATCCAGGGTGAGTGAGGCCCCAGACTTGGTGGGAGGGGGGGGACTCAACCCAAGGAGGGGCAGGGGCCCAGATGGGGAGCCAGGGTACCAGGCTGGGTGTGGGCATGGGGAGCACAGGATGCTATCCATACCAAGTACTGATACCACGTTTATGCTCCTAGATGGCTTGTTTGGGCAGTGCCAGGTGGGCGTGGGCCAGGTCCGGCCCCTTTTGCAAGTCACCTCTCCCGTTCTTCAGCGCTTACAAGGTGTGCTCCGACAGCTCATGTCCCAAGGTGAGGTCCAAGGGCGCTGAGACGGGTGCTGAGGCTGGGAAGGTGAGGGTGGGGTGCGGGGGCGCCACCTGACTCAGTGGATCCTTGTCATGGAACGCTCCGATCACATCCACTTCTGGAGCTTTGCCCTCCCACACATTGCTCGAGAAGGGGCAAGACAGGAGCAGGGGTGGAACCCTTGAGATGGGCTGTTCATGCAGATTTTCTGGAAGGATCATGGAGTTTCTAGAAGCTACTGAAGAGACCAGGATCCATCTGGTTTTTTTTGTTTTGTTGTGTTTTTTGGGGTTTTTTTTTTTCTTTTTGAGTCACACCCGGCATGCACAGGGGTTACTCCTGGCTCACGCACTCAGGAATTGCTCTTTGCAGTGCTTGGGGGACCATATGGGATGCTGGGAATTGCACCCGGGTTGGCCACATGCAAAGCAAATGCCCTACCTGCTGTACTATCACTCCAGCCCCTGTTCATCTCTTTAGGACCAGCCCCTTCTCTGAAATGGCCTGAGTATTCCAGGTCTATAAACTTTGAAGTTCTCAGTTGACTGAACACCCCACTCACCTAATTCAGTCATTTAAAAGAAGTATTTCCTATAGGGTCACAGTACAGTGTGTAGGGTGCTTGCTTGCACACAGCCAACCTGGGTTTAACCCCTGGCACCCCACATGGTCCCCCGTGCACTGCCAGGAAGGGCCTTGAGTACAGAGCCAGGAGTAAGTCCTGAGCACCACTGGGTATGCCGCCCACCCCACACCAAGGAGTATTTACTAAGCATTTACTATGCATTGAGGGCTGGAGCGATAGCACAGTGGTAGGGCGTTTGCCTTGCACGCAGCCAACACGGCCGACCCGAGTTCGATTCCTCCGCCCCTCTCAGAGAGCCCAGCAAGCTACCGAGAGTATCTTGCCCGCACGGCAGAGCCTGGCAAGCTCCCCATGACGTATTCGATATGCCAAACAGAGTAACAACAAAGTCTCCAATGGAGACGTTACTGGGCCCGCTCAAGCAAAATGACGAACAGCGGGAGGGCCTTTACCTTTACCTGAGTACTTTGAAGTGCTTTGAATGTGTCAGGGAACAAAACGCATCGAGAGGGTAAGCCTCCTAGGGCCTGCCATTGGGAAGAACAGGGAGTGAATGTACTAAATCAGCTAGAAAATATCTAGTATGCTAGAAGGTGATGCCCGGGAGGGAGAGGCATAGACAAATAGGGCAGCAGGATAAAGGTTAGAAGTCATGGGGGAAGAACCAATGATGTTGAATCAAGGGGATAAAGATAGACTTTATGGAGGCTGAGATTTGAGCAAAGACATCATGAAGGAGATGAAAGTGCTTCTCCAGCAGCTACTGGGGGAAGGATGTCTCAAGCCAGGCCCAGCACTAGAATAAAGCGCCGATGGTAGAGGCTGGATTGATGGTACAGCAGGTAAGGCTTGGACGTAGCTGACTCGGTTAAATCCCTGGCACCCCATATGGTCCCCTGATCCCTGCAGGAGTGATCCCTGAGCAGAGAACCAGAGGGAGGCCCAGAGCACCACCAGATGTTGTCCCCAAAGCAAGAAACCAAAACAAAAATAAAAACAAAAGTTCCAAGGAGGAGGTTGAATTGGATGAATACCACAGGGAGCACTTATGTGCATAAAGGAGTGATGGGAAGGAAGGGGAGTGGAAGATGCAGGAATAGGGGAAGGGAGAAGGGAGGCGGGTGGTTATGGGGCCTGGTCAGAAAGTGTCTGGATTCGGGTGTCACTCAGAATCACTGTGTTTTGTGGATATGCATGCAGGTCCTCCCTTATACATTACAGGGATTATTGGGGTTTTTTAATTATTTAATTATTTATTTATTCTTCTCTGTATCGTTCCAATTTTAGTATATGTGCTGCCGAAGCCCTCTCGGAGAGCCCGGCAAGCTACCGAGAGTATTCAATATGCCAAACACAGTAACAACAAAGTCTCCAATGGAGACGTTACTGGGCCCGCTCGAGCAAATCGACGATCAACGGGAGGGCCTTTAAAAGGGCTGGAGCGATAGCACAGCGGTAGGGCGTTCGCCTTACAAGCGTCCAACATGGCCGACCCGAGTTCGATTCCTCCGCCCCTCTCGGAGAGCCCGGCAAGCTACCGAGAGTATTCGATATGCCAGACACAGTAACAACAAAGTCTCCAATGGAGACGTTACTGGGCCCGCTCGAGCAAATCGACGATCAACGTGAGGGCCTTTACCTTTTTATTTATTTATTTTTAGTTTTGGATCGTACCCAAGGGTGCTCAGAGCTTACTTCTGGATCTGTACTCAGGGATCACTCCTGGTGGGACTTAGGGGACCAGATCATTGTTTTTGTTTTTGTTTTGCTTTTTGGATCACACCCAGTGATGCTCAGGGGTTAGTCCTTGCTCATGCACTCAGGAATTACTCCTGGTGGTGTTCGGGAGACCATATGGGATGCTGGGAATCAACCGTATGGGATGCTGGGAATTGAACCCGGGTCGGCCGCTTGCAAAGCAAATGCCCTCCCCTCTGTGCTATTACTCCAGCCCCAAGACCATATCACTGAACCAGGGGCAGTTACATGCAAGGCTAGCACACTGCTTGCTCTAACATCTCTCCAGCCCCTAAAAGGATTATTCTTTTTTTTTTAATAATGTAACCATTATTTATTTATTTATTTATTTTTGCTTTTTGGGTCACTTCCAGCGATGCACAGGGGTTACTCCTGGTTCTGCACTCAGGAATTACCCTTGGCAGTGCTCAGGGGACCATATGGGATGCTGGGAATCGAACCCGGGTTGGCCACATGCAAGGCAAACGCCCTACCCGCTGTGCTGTTGCTCCAGCCTAAACAGATGATTCTTGATGCTATGTTGAGAATCAAATGCAGGGACTCAACAATGGGAGCGGGAAGACTACTAAGAGGTTTTACAACAACTTCTGTAAGAGAAGCAGGTGGCTGGGACTGGGGTGGATGCTGGGAGATCATGGGGGGGGGGTTTCCTGAAATATTCCCTGGTGATATCTGTGAAAGGAAAAATGAGTCGAGGTGACACGCAGGTGTCATTGCCTGAGCGAACAGGTTGATGGAGATGGCACTAATTATGCACACAGATAAACTTGGAAAAGTCTCTGCAGACAGAGCTTGTAGGGATCAGAGGGATAGTACAACAGATCGGGTATTTGCTTTGCATGCAGCCAACCTGGGTTTGATCCCAAGCATCCCATATGGTCCCCCAAACACTGTCAGGGATAATTCCTGAGTTCAAAGCCATGAGTAACCCCTGAGCATCCGGTGTGTGTGGGGGGTGGGGTTTACAAAAAGCGAAAAAGAAAAAAGAAAAGTTCATTCAAGGATCAAGGAGATGTAGAGCAGATAAGATGCCTGCCTTTCAGGCAGCCAACTCTAGTCTGATCCCTGTACCCTACAGGGTCCCCTAAGTCCCACCAAAACACAGTCAGGGTCAAAGGACTGAAATCCACTCTGACCCCGCTGTGAGCGTGTCCACTCCCCAGTCTATGGGAAGCAGGGAGTTTAGTGGCTCTGCAGATCCACGAAACTGGGTAGAGTTGGGCTGTGCTGGTCCCGTGACTAGACCCTGGGAGGTTGTAGGCCAACCCCTCCCCACTCCTGTCCCCTGGCAGGACTGTCCTGGCACGATGCCCTCACCCAGCATGTGATCTCCCAGGAAATGGAGCGCATCCCCCGGCTGCATCCCGCAGAACCCCGCCCGCGGGACAGGTAGGCATGCTTCCAACCAGCGCACTGCCAGGCTGGTGGCACCATGGGATTCCTGGGACACAGAGGCGGAAGAGAAGGGGGCATCAAGGTCAGCCAACTGGCTCAAAGGTCACAGGGGTTTTAAAGCAGTGTTGTGACCTGCGCCCAGGCTAGCTTAACCCCAGGGACAAACAGGGTTTGTTTTTTTTTTTCCAATTTTAAGACTCCCACGAAACGTTGACATATGGTATTTGTGATTTTTAAAAATTGTTGATTTGAGGCTGGAAAGGGATCCCAGCATCCCATCTGGTCCCTCGAGCCCTGCCAGGAGTGATTCCTGAGCACAGAGCAGGGAGTAACCAATGAGCATCGCCGGCTGTGACCCAAAAACAAATCGTTGATTTCTTATTCTAAAAAAACGAGTGCGCGAGGGTCCTAGGGCTTCAAGAAGGAAGGAGAAAAGGGTTGCCAGGAAGAGGAAAGTGTGTCTGCGCGCGCGCGCGGTTGGGGGTGGGGGAGGGGAGCAGGGCACTGGAGGTGCAGGGTTGGAAGGTGAAACACAGTCCAGGTGGGGGGTGCGCTGCCGTCACAGCTCCGCGCAAAGGGTTCTGGATGCTTGCCCTGCTCCCCCCCCCCCCGCCCCTTGGCACCCCTGCCCCTCTGGTGCCCTCAGCGTTCACCTCTGCACCTGTGGTGCAGAGACTCAGGTCTGCTTTGTGGGCACCCTGACCTCCCGCCCGAGGCTGCCTCCAAGTAGCTGGGCGTGTCTCTGGGCCTCAGAAGCTCTGGAAGCTTCTGCCACCTGCAGCCCCCGCCGGGGGGGGGGGGGGGGCGCGCACCCGCGCACGCACGCACGCTCTTTGCCTCCTTTCCCCCAGATCCGGCTTGGTGGCCGTCCCCACGGACTCCGCCCCTGCAGCCCTGCACCGGTTTCCTCGACCTCCTCCCGGGGGCGGGGACGGAGCGGGGACGGGCGCTGGGTCCCCCCCCTCTGCCCGCTGAGCTGCTGCCCCCTCTCCTGGAACACCTCCTGCTGCGCCCGCAGCCCCCGCACCCCGCCCTGAGTTACGAACCCGCCCTCCTGCAGCCTTACCTGTTCCACCAGGTGAGCCCTAGACTCTGCCGCCCAGCCCCCACCCCACCCCATCCCCCACCCCCACCCCCCACCCGACCCCGCCTCTGATCTCCTCCCCCCATCTCTGCTTCTCCACAGTTCGCCTCCCGCGATGGTGCCCAGGGTGCGGAGAGCCCCCCAGGGATGCCGGGAGTGGGCCCCCTGCCCAAGGCTGACCCCCCAGCGCTCTTCGGCAGGACTGCCCCCAAGGGCGTGTTTGGGGCTCACTCCTATGGGGACCCTCCCCCAGGGCCTTTGCCTGCCCAGCTCTTCCAGGATTCGGGGCGGCTGTACCTGGCCCAGGACCGGACTGCGCCTGGTCGGGCCAAGGCACCCAGGCCGCCGGGGGCAGGGGGTGCTGGGGCCAGCAGCCTGGCAGAGGACTCCCCCGAGGGCTATGAGGAGGAAGGCCCAGAGGGTCACAGGGAGAAGCCTCTTCCAGCTGTAGAGAAGCCAGGTAACCCTCCGTTCCCACACCTCTCAGTCTGTGGGGGCTGTTGGCAGGGCCCCTCCTGATCACCCAAGCACGTGTTTATTGGTCCTTGGCATGGGCATCATCCAGCCCCTGAGCACAATGGCTGCAGGCACAGGCCAGGCATTGGGGTGCAGTGGTGGGGGGGAGGAGGGTCCTCATCTTCCATTAGGGATTCATGGGGAAGTCTAGGCTCAGTACCCGGGGAAGGTCTTCCTCCCAGGGAGTGGAAAGATCCAGAAGAACAGAGCCTCAGAGAAGGCGCTCTCGGGGCGGGAGCCACAGTACAGGGGCTAGTGAAGGCATTTGCCTATCCTGATTAGAACCCTGGCAACCCCCGGGGGGGGGGGGGGGGAGTGAGCATTGTCAGGAGCTACTCCTGGGTACGGAGTCAGGAGTTAGCCCTGAGCACGACTGGGGGTGGCCCCCAAGCCCAAAAGGAGCAAACGAACGACAGAGAAGCAGTCCCTCAATGACCCACACCCCCAGTTCTCCCCCTTGGCACGCTGCCAGTGCACCCCTCCTTTACGTCCCCCGCCCCTTCCCTGAGCGCCGTCTGCCTCCCAGCAGACCTCACGCGGCAGAGACTGGCCACCCTGCTGGCGGGCTATGGCGTGGAGCTGCGGCAGCTGAGCCCCGAGCAGCTGTCCACGCTCTCCGCGCTGCTGCAGCTGCTGCCCAGGGGCCTGGACCAGAACCCCGGTGAGTGGTTGGCCGGAGACCACCAGCAGCACCTGGCAGCAGCTTGCTGCCCAGAAAGGGATGGCTCCGAGGCAGGGTCAAGAGGAGAGGGCAGGGGAGATCTGTTTTATGAGCCCCCCAGGTCCTGGTGAGTTGACCAGGAAGAGCTGGAAATGGGCTGAGTTGCAAAGAGGTACAGGAGTAAGGAGGGTGGGGGCCAGACCAAGAGCAATAAGCCGGGGGCGTGGCCAATTCCTGGGGGCGGAGCAATGGTTATGGGGCGTGGTTTTTCCAAGGAGACGCCCACAATGGGCGGGCAGAGGGAGAAATCACAAATCACAATCACAAATCATCCTGTTAATCGTGGATTGCCTCGAGCAGGCCCCAGTAACGTCTCCTTCATCCTAGCCCTGAGATTATATTCAAGGCTCTATAGGAGAATGAGACCCATCATTGTTACTGGTATTTGGCATATTGGGTACGCCACGGGGAGTTTGCCAGACTCTGCCGTGTGGGCAGGCTACATTCGGTAGTCTGCCAGTTTGTCCAAAGTAGGAATGAGATAATAAGATGTCATAATAGGATGTCGGGAGGGAGAAATGGTGAAAGAAAGACTTGGAGGCCCAGGAAGTCAGTCCAGGGGGATCTTGCGCGCCGCACCCGTGGCAGAGGGCAGGGAAGGAATTAAAACGACGAGGCAGGAGCATGGAATTCTAGGACTGGGTTTAGGGCAGGCCAAGGGATAGAAACTTGGAGACAGGCCTTTGCCACAGGCCCCAGGCCCTTTGAACCTCTTGCCTTGAGTGGCCCCATGCACAGAGCCTTATCTTTCCTGTCTCTGCAGGAGGGGCTGTAAATGCTGGCGCTGACATCAAGAAAGTGAGTGCCCGCTCTGTCCCTTGCCCCCCAGTGCCCCTCCACTATAAACCCACCTTTGCCCCTCCCTTTCTGAGTTCATATACTGGGGCAGGGTTGCTGACCGGGGTCACACCCATGCTCTTGGGGTCAGACTACACGCGTGGGTGCTCTCATATTCCCTCAGTCGCAGTGCTGGGGGTGGGGGGCATTCGCCTTGTGCTTCTCACAACACCTGGCTGGGTGCCGAGCTGGTATACCCACCTGGGGGACCCCCCCGCCCCCCGGGGAAGCTGTCAGGTCTGCACTTAGCACCTGTGGGTATGGCCAGGTACCAAACTCCCGGCCTCACACTTTTGCCGCTGGGCCAGCACTTGGGCTAACATCAGCCTCAGAATCAGGAAGGGCTTCCCTATGCTCCAGCTCCTTGTTGGGGGCAGGGGAATCGAGGAGGGGGGCAGGGGGCATTCCCAGGCCCAGAGGCTGCACACCATCACCCCAGGGCTCTCTGGAGCAGGGCTGGGGCCAGAAGCTGGAATTTTTCAGTGCCTGATTTTTCTTTCTTTTTCTTTTTCTTTTTTGCTTTTTGGGTCACACCCAGCGGTGCTCAGGGGTTACTCCTGGCTCTGCATTCAGAAATTATTCCTGGTGGTGCTTGGGGAACCATATGGGATGCTGGGGATTGAACCCGGGTCAGCCGTGTACAAGGCAAATACCCTACCTGCTGTACTATAGGTCCGGCCCCGGTGCCTCTTTTGTTTTGTTTTGTTTTTTACTGAAAAATGAAGACCCTGCTCTCAGCTACCTGGGGAAGGGCATGAGATGGAGACAGATGAGCTGATTCTCCTCCAGGAGCTTTGGGAGTTTTCTGTTTCCCATGTGAGATGTCATAGACATAAACATGTAAATAAGCCTCTGTCTGGGCCAGGGAGCAGGTTCAAGGGGATGAGCATAGGCTTCGCACGCTGGAGGCCTAGGCCCCATCCTGGCACCGTAGGGTCCTCAGAGCACCACCAGAGTCCTCTGACTCGCCAGCACCGAGCCAGGAGTAGTCCCTGAGCACTGTCAGGTGTGGCGCCAGCACACCCAACCCCAGCCTCAACCTCCCTCCCTCCAGAGGCCCCGCCCCCTCCAGCCACACCCTGAGGGTCCTTACTGACCCCTTTGCGGTTCTTGCAACCTTCAGTGCCTTCCATCATCCACCTTCCCTATGCCCAGAACCATCCGAGGTACCCGAGGGCGGAGAATGAAGCAGGTTCTGAGCTCTTTGGAGAACCCCTCCCCCCTCCTAGCCCCTCCTCCACCCAGACACCCCCACTCTCCTCTCTCCCAAACAGACCATGGAGGAACAGGTGCAGGGGGGAGATATAGCAGAGCCTCGGTCCCCCACGCCCTCCTTAGCGGGGTACCCCACTGCCAAGGCCCAGCAAGTACTGAGCTCAGGGCCCTCTGAGGCCCCCAAAGCTGCCGCTTTCTCCGCCGCCCCTGTCCTGCTGGAGAAGAAAAGTCCGCTGGGCTCGGAGGAGGGGCCGCCGCGGGCACAGCCCTCAGTGGAGGAGTATGGCTACATCGTCACTGATCAGAAGTAAGGGGGCTGGAGAGATAGCACAGAGGGGAGGGCGTTTGCCTTGCATGCAGCCAACCCAGGTTCGATTCCCAGCATCCCATATGGTCCCCGGAGCACCGCCAGGAGTAATTCCTGAGTGCATGAGCCAGGAGTAACCCCAGTGCATTGCCGGGTGTGACACAAAATGGGGAAAAAAAAACAAAACAATAGAAGTAAGGGCCCTGGGGCCACCTGGGTGGGAGCACGGAGCAGAAATGCAGATGTGGAGTCCCTCTGGGTGGGGTATGCTGTTCTGAATGCTGGGTTCACCTATTTCCCAAAGGGATTGGGGACCTCTCCCCCCAACACACACATGCGTGCACTCTCTGTCTCTGTCTCTGTCTCTGTCTCTGTCTCTCTCTCTCTCTCTCTCCTCCGCAGGCCCCTGAGTCTGGCAGCAGGAGTCAAGCTGCTAGAGATCCTGGCCGAACGTGTGCACTTGACCCCCAGTCACTTCATCAACATCAGGTGATGCTGGGCGCAGGGAGGAGGCTGGACGGGCACAGGGCGGCTGAGAGGCTCCAGCCTGGCCCTGCACTGGCTCGTGTCTCGGTGCGGATGGCTGGTTGGTTTCCGCCCCTGCTGGGGGGGGGGCTGCAGCGGGCCAGGCTGGTGCTGCCGTCGCTGGGAGCCTGAACCTGATCCCCCCCACCCCGGGGGAGGCAGTAACTAGCTCCTGTTCGGCAGTGTGGTGGGACCGGCCCTCACCTTCCGCATCCGGCACAATGAACAGAACCTGACTCTGGCCGACGTAACCCAGCGAGCTGGTAAAGCATCACCCAGTCCCAGCGCCCCTGCTCCACACCGAGATCCCCAGGCCTGAGACTGTTGCTGCCAACCTTGAACTCCTGCCCACCCCTCGGGCCCCCTCCCCCACCCGCCTGCCACCTGCCGATACCCTGAGCCAGGGTGAGACCACCCCCAGGGCTGACTTCAGTTTCCCTCTTAGGGCTGGTGAAGTCCGAACTGGAAGGGCAGACAGGGCTGCAGATCTTGCAGACGGGAGTGGGACAGGTAGGCGCGCACTGGAGAATCAAAGTTCCTGAAGGCTGACGTGGCCCAGGGGAGAAGGGGGCACACTTGGCGGGAGAACAAGACCCTAGAAACTCCCATTACCCAGCCTGCATCCCTGTTTGGCTAAGGTGGCCTGTCGGCTGCCCCTGCAGTTTTACTTCTAACCAGCAGAGGGCGCCAGGAGCTCTTCTTTTCTCAGCCGGCCCAACGGCGGGATTCCTGGTGTTGGAAATCAAAATATACTTCCTACACTTATGGTTTCTTTGGTTCTGCCTACACGCCTCTGTGCCTATTTTTATTTTATTTTCAATTTAATTTTTTATTTTATTTTTTATGCCTATTCTTAAATGCAAATCCGCCCAGTCTCCTGCATTGCATTGGGGTTGCCTGGGTTCCCTTGCAACGAACTGCATCTCTTTGCCTGTGCTTCCGTGGCCCTTGGCCTCTTAAGGTTTTGGAAACTCAGCAGAGAGTGGGGCCTGCTTTGCTTCCCAGCCACCCACCCCCTCCCCCTTTGATTCTGACCTTGTTCCCACAGAGGGAGGAGGCAACTGCTGCCCTGCCCCGGGCGGCCCACAGCACCTCTCCCCTGCGCTCCGTGCTGCTCACCCTGGTGGCCCTAGCGGGCGTGGCCGGGCTGCTGGTGGCTCTGGCCGTGGCTCTGTGCATGCGGCACCACTCCAAGCAGCGGGACAAGGAGCGCCTGGCGGCCTTGGGCCCTGAGGGTGCTCAGGGGGACACTACCTTTGAATACCAGGTAGGCAAGCCCAGGATGGAAGGTTGGGGGGACTGGAAGGTGGAGGGGGTCTTGATTGGGGGTGAAGGTAACAGTTGGTGGCTCCTCCAAGCAGAGACTCCGGCCGACTGGTGTTGGGGGGGGGGTGAAGGTAACAGTTGGTGGCTCCTCCAAGCAGAGACTCCGGCCGACTGGTGTTGGGGGGGGGGGGTGATGTCAGGACATGCTGATGGGGGGAATCGGGCGCAGATCATTTCGAAGGTTCTTTCCAGTGCTAGTACCTCCGTGCTTCCGGGAGCACAGTTCAGGCACCCACCACGCAGATCAGTCCCTAAAAGGACAAGTGGGAAGGGCCAGAGCAATAGGACGGTGGTTAGGGCACTTGGCTTGCATACAGCCAGCCCAGTCTGGGTTTGATCCCGTGCACTCCATAGGGTGGGTCCCCTGAGCACTGCCACCAGGAGTGATTCCTGAGCACAGAGGCCAGAGTAAGCCCTGAGCATCGCCAGGTGTTGGCTCCCAAATTAAAAAAAAAAAAGTAATAATAGGGGCTGGAGAGATAGCAGAGTGGGTAGGGCGTTTGCCTTGCACATGGCCGACCCGGGTTCAATTCCCAGCATCCCATATGATCCCCTGAGCACCACTAGGAGTAACTCCTGAGTGTAGAGCCAGGAATAACCCCTGTGCATCACCAGGTGTGACCCAAAAAGCAAAAAAAAAATTAATAATTAAAAAATGGACAAAGGGAAAAGTTGGTGCACCGGGGAAGAGAAATAGCACAGAGGTGAAGAGTCGCCAGCAGTTTGAGTCGCCTGAGCACAGAGCTGGGAGTAAGCCCTGAGTATCACTGGTATGGCCTAAAATGTCACCCTCCCCTAAAAAAAAAAAATGTTGGCCCCACCAATAGTACAGCAGAGAGAGTGTTTGCCTTGCGTGCAGCTGACCCAAGTTCAATCCCCGGCATCCCATATGGTTCCCCGAGCGCCACCAGGAGTAATTCCTGAGTGCAGAGCAAGAAGTAACCCCTGAGCGTCACTGGATGTGACCCAAAAAGAAAAAAAAAAAAGGAAAAAAAAAAAACACCAAAAAAGTCAGTCCTGGGGGCTGGAGCAATAGCACAGCGGGTAGGGCATTTGCCTTTCATGCGGCCGACCCAGGTTCGATTCCCAGCATCCCATATGGTCCCCTGAGCACCGCCAGGAGTAATTCCTGAGTGCATGAGCCAGGAGTAGCCCCTGTGCATCGCCCAGTGTGTCCCAAAAACCAAAAAAAAAAAAAAAAAAGTCAGTGTTGCAGAGATGGGGGTGTTCTGAAAGGAGCCTGAGGCAGGGGGACCCTGTGGAAAAGGCTTCAGGGGCGCTGGGATGAACCCCCCTTCTCCCATCCCCCTCCCCAGGATCTCTGCCGCCAGCACATGGCCTCCAAGTCCCTGTTCCCGAGGACCGAGGGTGCCCCGGAGCGGCCACCCGAGCCGTCCCGCGTGAGCAGCGTGTCCTCGCAGTTCAGCGACGCGGCCCAGGCCAGCCCCAGCTCACACAGCAGCACGCCGTCGTGGTGCGAGGAGCCGGCGCAGGCCAACATGGACATCTCCACGGGCCACATGATCCTGGTCAGGCCGGGGGGGTTTCCCGGGCGGGGGGAGGGGGAGGGCGGGGAGAGGCCGCGGGCAGCCTCCGAGCCGGGCGTGGGGTCCCCCGCAGGCCTACATGGAGGACCATCTCCGCAACCGGGACCGCCTGGCCAAGGAGTGGCAAGCGCTGTGCGCCTACCAGGCCGAGCCCAACGCCTGCGCCACGGCCCAGGGCGAGGGCAACGCCAAAAAGAACCGCCACCCCGACTTCCTGCCCTGTGAGTAAGCAGTAACGGCACCCCCCCCCCCATTACCCCCTTAAGAAGGGGGCAGGGCAGGGCGCGGGGGCGGGGTGGGGGAGGGGGGCCCCTCCTGGCGGATCCGGGTGACCCGAAGGTTCTGTCTGTGCAGATGACCACGCTCGCGTCAAGCTGAAGGTGGAGGGCAGCTCTTCCCGGAGCGATTACATCAATGCCAGCCCCATCGTGAGTGGTCCCACGAGACCCCCTACACTCGATCGCCCCAGCTTACTTCGCATCATCCATGGAATGGGGAGTGGGGGGGCGGGCCGCCTGGACCCGCTCCTGGATATGCGCATCTCTCCTTGTCACTGCCCCCAGATCGAGCACGACCCCCGGATGCCCGCCTACATCGCCACCCAGGGCCCCCTGTCGCACACCATCGCGGATTTCTGGCAGGTGGGGCGGGTTACAGGACTGACGTGGGGATGGGAGGCGGGTGGGGGCCGGGTCCAGGCAGAGCCCCGCGGGGCTGCCCGCAGCAGCTCCGTCCTGGCTGTCGGTCCCCAGATGGTGTGGGAGAGCGGCTGCAGCGTCATTGTCATGCTCACGCCCCTGGTGGAGGATGGGGTCAAGCAGTGTGACCGCTACTGGCCAGACGAAGGCTCCTCCCTCTACCACGTGTATGAGGTCAGCAGGACCCCCGCAGCGGGAGGGGGGGAGGGGCACCCACACGTGCCCAAATGTTTGTGGATGACACCCTCATGCACGTGTTCGAATACACACACATGCACGCGCGCACACATGCACACACGTGCACACAGCTGGGGCGCGGGGGAGTGCGCTCGTGACCTAGGACAGCCGTAGGGTCCCGTGAAACAGAAAGGGTGTGAGCCCAGGGATCAGGCAATTGCCTCGCCTGGGACTGCAGCTGCTGCCTAGGCTGTGAATCCCAGCTCAGATAAGGTGCCTGTTCCCGAGGCATCCCGCAGGTGTGCAGGTGTGCGGGAAATAAACTTAAATTCTAAAGTCACCAAAGTGGAGGAAAGACAGTCAGCACACAGGAGCCCTTGGCCCAAGATTAACACCTACTTCACACCAGCCTGGCTTGGCTCTGGGCTCCAGGGAGGCAGAGCCAAGAATGACACCCCAGCAGGCCCATCTGTGGCTGATGCAAACATGTTTCCTTTGGCAAGGGCGAGGGGAGATGCAAAACAGCGGAAAGAGAAACTGCTTCCTAAGGGGAGGGGGGAGGAGGAGGGAAGGTGTTCCCCGCTGAAAGAGAGCAGGCCTGCTGGGCATGACACATTTCTGCACCTGAGCTCTGAAGAGAAGCTTTTTCATCAAGAAATGAGCACACATAAGCCTGCCCCTTATATTTATTTATTGGCTTTTTGGGTCACACCTGGCGATGCACAGGGGTGACTCCTGGCTCTGCACTCAGGAATTGCCCCAGGCGATGCTCAGGAGCCCATATGGGATGCTGGGAATTGAACCCGGGTTGACCGCGTGCAAGGCAAACGCCCTACCCGCTGTGCTATTGCTCCAGCCCAAGCCTGCCCCTTTTAAAAGGTGTTTTTGTTTGTTTTGAATTGGCCTTGCTCTCAATTAAAGAGTAAGGATAGGGAGGAGGTGTGTGGGCAGAGCTATATGAGAGTGGGTAAGATGTTTTGCCTTGCATGCAGCTAACCCAGGGTTGATCCCTGGCATCCCGTGTGGGCCCCAGAGTCGTGCCAGGAATCAGCCCTGAGCACCACCAGATGTAGCTCAGAAACAAAAAGGATGGGACTGGAATGATAGTGTAGCAGGTAGGACACTTGCCTTGCATGCGGCCCACCTGGTTCAATTCCCTGCATCCCATACGGTTCCTCTCTGCATCATTAGAAGTAATTTCTGAGCGCAGAGTCAGGAGTAACCCCTGAACATCCCTGGGTGTGACCCAACACCAAAAAAAAGAAGTCAAGGGGGTGGAGAGATGTGGATTAGTGGTATAAGACACATGCTTCGCTTGTATGAGACCCTGGATGCAATCTCTGGGAATGAGAGAGAAAAGAAGTAGAGAAAGAAAGGAGGGAACGAAGGTAGGGAGGCAGGCAGGCGAGAGAGATAGTACAGCAGATACGGCTCTTGCCCTGCACGCGGCCGAGCCGGGTTCAATCCTCGGCATCCTACATGGTTCCCTGAGCCCTGCCAGGAGTGATTCCTGAGTGCAGAGCCAGGTGTAACCCCTGAGCATCACCAGGTGTGCCTGCCCGCCCTCCCCCAGTAAATAGAAGGAAGAAAGTCAAATAGAAATGTTTCATCCAAGATCATGGTGCTTGAGTCCAAAAGCCTCTAGACTTTGAGGAAGAAAAAGCAGTTTCGACTCTGGAAGCTCACAATAGCCCGTTCATTAGCCACGGGCTGCCCTGAGCTCTATGTGGTTAACCTGGAACGGAGGGTTTTGGAGGTCCTGGGGTTTGGGGGCAGGGGTAGGGGCTGCGGGGAGGCGGGGAGGATTCGGCCGCGCCCGCCTTGCAGGTGAACCTGGTGTCGGAGCACATCTGGTGCGAGGACTTTCTGGTGCGGAGCTTCTACCTGAAGAACGTGCAGACGCAGGAGACGCGCACGCTCACGCAGTTCCACTTCCTCAGCTGGCCGGCAGAGGGCACCCCGGCCTCCACCCGGCCCCTGCTGGACTTCCGCAGGTGAGGCTGCGGGCAGCGCCTGCCCCACTCCCAGCTGACCCTCCGGCTCTCCAAGGCTTTCCCGGACCTGTGACCTCCGCTTGCTTCTTCCAGAACATCCCCCTCTCGCCGATGGCCCTGCTGCCTCCCATCCCCCCACGCTCCCACCCAGTGCGCGCGTCCCACCCCCGCCGCCGCCGTGGTCACTGCGCCCTCTGCTGGTCGGCGACTCGCACTCCTGCCCTCGTTTCTTCTCTCCCCGCACCCCCCAAAAAGCACTGGCCTGATTTCGAGCTCCCTGTCTGCCGTCTGGGCCCCTGCCTTTCTCTCTCCGCCCGTCCTGCCTCAGCCCTGATGCTCCGGAGTTGGATCACATTCAGACTTGGGGTCCGCTTGGACCTGGGACCTTCTCCGGCTGACCCCAGCTGGCTCCTAACCCCGGCGGCTCAGCCTCCACTGCCCTGGTCCTTACTAGCTTCCTGCCCTGAGAGCTGCCTGCAGAATCCCGATCCCACACTCCCCCCCCCCCCCACGCCCCTGATCGCCCGCACCTCTTTCTCCTCTGCCTCTTTCCCTCGTTTTTTTTTTTTTTTGTCACACCCAGCGATGCTCGGGGGTTATTCCTGGCTCGGCACTCAGGAATTACTCCTGGCGGTGCTTGGGGGACCATATGCGACGCCGGGGATCGAACCCAGGTCGGCCGTGTGCAAAGCAAACGCCCTACCATCCCCTCTGACCACGCCTCTTCCTCTCCCTCTGCCTTCCTTGGCTCCTTCCTCTGCTTCCAGCCTTTCTCTACTCCTGCTTCACACCCTCTGGTGTCTCCCCTCCTTCCTTTCCCCACCGCGGCATTTTGGGGCACGTGGGGAGCAGGAAAAGGAAGGTAAAGGGCTGGAGAAGCACAGCCAGGCCAGCCCCCCAACACCCCCCCTCCACCGCCCTCCCCTCCAGGGGACTGGCTGAGAAGTCTACTGCCTCCTCCTGCTTCTCTGCCATCCCCACCCGAAACCCCTGGCTGGCTTGGGGTTTCCCAGTGACCCCAAAGGAGTGGGGCAACAGACGAGGTGGAGGTTTGAGCCTTGGGACAGTGTCTCTTTCTTTTTTTTGGGGGGGAGGGTACTCCCAAGTGGTCAGGGGGTCTAGGGGCTGCTCTTGGGGATCCTCAGCTAGGCAGCCAGCAGCTCAGTGCTCGGGCCCAAGGATAAGGTGATGCTCCTGACCTGCATTTTTTTTTGTTTGTTTTTTGTTTTTTGTTTTTGCTTTTTTGGGTCACGCCCAGCGATACACAGGGGTTCCTCCTGGCTCTGCACTCAGGAATCACTCCTGGCGGTGCTCAGGGGACCATATGGGATGCTGGAAATTGAACCTGGGTCGGCCGTGTGCAAGGCAAACTCCCTATCCTCTGTGCTATCGCTCCAACCCCCTGATCTGCATTGTTGGGGTCACCCCGGCAGGCTCAGGGGTCTCCAGAGCTGCACTGGGCAATGCTAGGGAAGTCATATGGTGTGTGTGTGTGTGTGTTGGGGGGATGTCAAACCTGGGGTCAGTGCATGCAGGGTATGCCCCCTAGCCACAGAAACCCCTACCCCTGCCCCCCCCCACACCAGGGCCTGTGACTCCTAAAGCAATGGGGGCTTTAAAAGTGATAGTGCAGGACTGGAACGATAGCACAGCGGGCAGGGCGTTTGCCTTGCACGCAGCTCACCTAGGTTCGATTCCCAGCATCTCATATGGTCCCCCAAGCACCTGAGGGCATGAGCCAGGAGTAACTCCTGTGCATCACTGGGTGTGACCCAAAAAGCAAAAAGCAAAAAAAAAAAAAAGCGATACTGCAGTGGGTAGGGTGTTTGCCTTGCATGCAGCTGACCTGGGTTCGATTCCTGGTTTCCCCAAATAATCCCCCGAGCACCTCCAGGAGTGATCTCTGAGCACAGAGCCAGGAGTAACCCCCTAGCTCCACTGGGTGTGGCCCCAAAATTAAAAAAAATAATAATTAAAGCAATGCCCAGGCCATGAACCAGCCACAGTTAGAGCAGAGGTATAGCCAAAACACGCCGAGCTAGCCACCTGGAAGCCCATCCTCCTGGGTTGCAGCAGCATGGCCAGTGGGGTGACTGAGCACGCTGGGGACAGTCATGCCATTCGCGGAGTGTCTTGGCCAGGCCTGGCACCCTGTTCCTTACCTGTGTTCTCTCCCATCATGATGGAAAGAACCTTCAGGAGAAGGGGACTGTCGTCACCATCCCATTTGACAGATGAGAAAACCGAGGCCCAGATAGGCCAGAGCCGGGGTGCACGACTCAATGGGGACAGAATGCCACCCAGTCCCTACCCACCACCCCATCCTCCTCCCTGCAACCTCCTCCCTCCTCCCTGCCCAGTGCGGGAGCCCAGGCACATGCTTCAGGGACCCCCTCCCCCCCGGTCCTCACCCCCATTTCTTCTTGCAGGAAAGTGAACAAGTGCTACCGAGGCCGTTCCTGCCCCATCATCGTGCACTGCAGGTGTGTGGGGCGGGACGGGGCAGGGCTGGTGGGGACAGAGACAGGACTTGGAGGGAGGGGGCTCCCCGGCCCCCCACCTCTGCTCTGCTCCCCATCCCGGGGCACATGCTTGTTCCCCGCGCCCTGTCCCCTCTGCCTCCTGTGCGCCTCCCACCTCGTCCTCCGAGGGGGCAAGCGTGGCAGCTGGTAGTGACTTCCTCTTGACCAGCTCCTCCTGGAGGGTTCAAGCCTGGCCGGGAGGCTGGCAAGGGCCATTCCCTTCCTCCCACGGCTGAGTTGTGACTCCTGCTATGGGTGGACCCCTTGCCCAGGTGACCCCACTCCCCCCCTCCTCCCCCCCTCTTTCTCCTCCTCCTCTTCCTCCTCCTCCTCCTCGTCCCAGACCCTGCAGGGGGTGCTGTGACTCCCCGTGCCCGCCCTGCCGGGTCCCCAACTAAGCTCGACTGTGTCTCTGGTTCCAGTGACGGGGCGGGCCGGACGGGCACCTACATCCTCATTGACATGGTCCTCAACCGCATGGCGAAAGGTGAGACAGGCGTCCCCCCACACCCAGGTCACAGAACCATGCCCCCAGGCTTTGCCCAGTGCCCTGGCTCTTGGGGTGCTGCTGGGTCTCTTGGGGTGCTGTCCTCTCTGCACGGCCCCTGAGTATCTCTGCCCCCCACCCCCGACTTCAGGAGTGAAGGAGATCGACATCGCGGCCACCCTCGAGCACGTCCGCGACCAGAGGCCGGGCCTGGTGCGCTCCAAGGTACCGTGTGGGGGCTGGAGCAATAGCACAGCGGGTAGGGAGTTTCTTTGCCTTGCACGCGGCCAACACAGGTTCGATTCCCAGCATCCCATATGGTCCCCTGAGCACCGCCAGGGGTAATTCCTGAGTGCAGAGCCAGGAGGAACTCCTGTGCATCACCAGGTGTGACCCAAAAAGAAAACAAAACAAAACAAGGTGCCGTGTGCTCCCACCCCCTGGGCACCCCCTCCCAGCTGCTTCCGAACCTCCCCTGGGAGCGCCCCCTGCACTGGGACCCCTAGCATCCTGCCCCCAGATCCCTTCTTGGGGCAGAAGGCCAGGCCTCCCCAGGACACCCGTCACCCACCCCTGACCTCCTCCCCAGGACCAGTTCGAATTTGCCCTGACAGCTGTGGCTGAGGAAGTGAATGCGATTCTCAAGGCGCTGCCCCAGTGAGCGCCCTTCCCCACCCCAGCGGGGCCTGGCCTCAGCCCCTCCTCGCCTTTGTGAGCATCTGTGTACCCCCCCCCACACACACGCCACCCCCAACCCGGGCCCCCTGGAACAAGCCCAGCCCTTTCCCAGAGGAATAAGGAAGGAAGATGTGGAAAGGGGTGGAGGGGGGAGACACCCCACCCAGCCTCACCCCTGCGGGAAGCCTGGATGACCCAGGGGAGCACTGGCAGCTGATCTGCAGAGACATTCGCCCTGGGCAGCCGTTTCCACCACCGCCGCCCCTGCCTGAGTCCCCCCCAGCCCGCCTGTCCCGCCATTCTGGAAAATGCGGGCCCCCCTCCCCTCACCCCTGCTGCCCTCCAGTATGGGCAGACCCAGGGGAGGGGCTGCCACCTCCAGCTATTCCAGCCTTTGCTGTCCCTGGAGAATCCCATTTAGCCCCTGCTGGACCAGCCCTCTCGCTACTCATGTTCCATCATCTCCCCTGGCACCAGAGAAAAATTTGGAGGGGAAAAAAAATTCTACTTTTGTATTCATGTGAATAAAGTGTGTGTCTGTGTGCAGCTATTTGCAGCATTCTGCCCCGTGTGCCCTGCTTTTCCGGCACCCAGGCCCGAGCTGGGCTGTGAGCGCGCCATCTGCACTCAGCGCCCCCAACCCCATCCATAGTGGGGGACAGGGGTAACATCACTATAAACTGTAGTTCTGCGGGCGTGCTGCAGATGTGAACTTAGTCTAACCTGGGCCCACGTTCCCAGCGCCGGCCCGACTCACGGACTGGGAAGCAGCCCCCTGGTAGACGGGAGTGAGGCCCCCAGCACAGCTGACTCTCTCCATCTCTCCCCTTCCCTGGCTTCTCTCTGGCCTCAGGAACCCTGTTGGTGGTGGGCTTCGGACTGAGCTGTGCTGACCCACGCCCCCAACCCTCCGCGCAGCATCACTGGTTGTTGTGTATGGTGGCTCTATGAGACCAGGCACCCGGCGGGGTCAGGGGGCTCCGTCGTTCCTTTACCTCCCAGGCCCTGGTTTTCAGAAGGGCCTCCCTAACGGTTCCCTCGTCTGACAGAGGTGGTAGCCCTGTAGCACTGTCCTCCTGTTGTTCATCCATTTGCTCGAGCGGGCACCAGTAACGCCCTCATTGTAAGACTTGTTACTGTTTTTGGCATATTGAATACGCCACGGGGAGCTTGCTGGGCTCTCCGAGAGGGACGGATGGGAGAATCGAACCCGGGTCCACCGTGTGCAATCGCTGTGCTACCGCTCCAGTCAGACAAGGGTGGTAGATGCAGAAAATGAAGCCAGAGCCTTGGGCCTGGTGCACCCTGGGAATTAAGGCCCCTGGACCCTCCCAAGACTCTTCCTCTGCAAGTGAAAACTTGGGGGTGTGGTAGGAAGCTGCACCGCCCACTTGGCGGGGCGCCAAGGGAGCGACTCTGCCAAGACTCAACTCCTGGGGGGTGGGGTGGGGGGGTGTTTGCGCCCCTCCCTCCCCCAGGACAGAGAGGGGCCTGAAAGAGCTCAGCCCGGCTCCTGCAGGGAGAAGGCTCAGGCCCCCTGGCTCCGGAAGGCAAAGCCACGCACATCCTCGGATGCCAGTGTCCATGGGGCGTCTGTGGACATCCACAGAGGTGTGGGGGTGTGGGGTCCCTGGTCTTGTCCTCCCTGGGCCCTGGACCCCATGGGTGAACTACACCCCCGTTTCCGGGACAGGCAGGCCTCTGAGTCAAGCCCCCAGCTGGAAGCGAGAGGAGGAAAGGGCTCCTCGCTTGGGGGGAGGGGGACCAACCCACACCTGTCACCTGCTTCCTGCTGTTCCAGGTCCCCCGTATTCTTCATATCTCGATCTTGGCCTGGTTCTGGCTTTGCTAAGTTGGGGGGGGGGCGTGGCCATAGGAAGTGAGGGGTCCCCAGGGGAAGAGCGACGGCCTCTGTTCATGGGGCCACCTGGAGCTGTTTGGGTAAGAGAGGCAGGTGCGTCCCCACTGGCCGCATGCAGTGCCTGCCTTGGGGGGGGGGGGCGGGGGCGGCATCCGGAAGACGCAGGGACACAGCACCCCAACTCTCACAACTCAGCTTTATTTACTTCTGGGGTCCCCCTTCGTCTCAGCGCAGCCCAGCAGGCTTGGGCAAGTCTCTGAAACGCCCCCTCTCGCGGGGACCAGCGATGCTCCCCACCCTGGCCCCCCCGGGGCGCCCCAGGCAGCTCTGCGGCGGTGGTGGTGGCGGTGGCGAGCACTGGGCGGCGGGGTCAGAGGCTTAACGGCCGGACAAGCAGCAACATGCCCGCAGTGCCCATCACATGCCAACCCTGGCCACGCACACGCACGCGCGCACGCATGCATGCAGGCACGCACGCACATGCACTCGCACGCTCTCCCCCACGCACACACCCCCCCCACCCGAGGGGGGCCCTCCCTCCCTCCGGAGCTCTCCGCCAGCCGCCAGGGATCCCGTCCCGCGCTCAGTCCTCCTGTCCCGGCTGGCTCTTCAGACCCAGGGCTGCCAGTTCAGCAGCCCCGCCCAGATGGCACGAGGGCACCAGCAAGAGGTGTCAGAGGGACCCGAGCTCGGCCCAAATTAAAAAAAAAAAATCCCCCTTCATCCACGTTCTCGCAGCCCGCCCCCTCCCCACCCTCCTGGCCGGGGTGGGGGACAAATCTAAATGACAAGATGTCCCCCAGGCTCCCGGAGCGAGCGGGGCTGGAACTACATATCCCAAGATGCACAGCTCCGCCACCAGGCGCCCGCTCCCCCGCAAGCTTAACCTATCAGAGATGAGGCCGGAGGCGTTGCATTCTGGGACTTGTAGTCTCCAAGAGACAGCCCCCCGCAAAAGATCCGGGGCAGAGTTCACAGGCTAAGACTACTGGGCACCTCCCCCCGGCCCCCACCCCCCCACTCAGCTCTAGCGCTGCACGGGTCAGGGAGAGGGATGGAAGGTCCCCTTCCCAGCACACGGGGGGAGAGGGTGCTGTCCTGTTGGAACTGTGCAGCGACTCTGGATCCCGGACATCCAGCTCAGAACACATCTGGGAAGAGAGCGGGGACGGGGGGGAGGGGGAGGACAGGAGAAAGGGGTCAGCGGCCAGCCGTGGGAGGAGGAGCCGCGCATGCAGACCTGGGCTAACCCTGTGACCTCTCCCTGCGCCCTGACGCACGCCAGCCGAGTTGCTCTGAGGACAGTCCCCTGGGGGGGGAGGGGTTGGGGGAGAGGGGGAACCTCCCTCCGCGGTCGCCCTGGCCCTGGCCCACCTCTCCAGGGTGCGCCGACCTCACCTCTGCCTAGTCCTGAGGCTTGGGGTCGGCTGAGGCAGCAAGAGGAAGGGAGGAGGAGTGGGTTCCGGCTCCGAATCTGGACGGACGGAGAGGCGCCCGCCCCACCCTGCTAGCCTCCCGGGACGGGACGGGACGGGCCGGGCCCGAGGGGGCCAGAGCCGCGTGTGCGCCACGCGGGAGGGGGATGGGGGGGGTTTTGGGGGTGGGTAGGAAGGAGGGAGTCCTAGCCGGCCAGCCAGTGCGAGCAAGCGGGCGAGGAAGGAGCAGCAGCGCCAGGAGGAAGCGGAGACGGCCACAGGACCAGAGTCGGGGTGTCGGCGGCCCGGCCAGAGACAGCGAGAGCAGCAGCGCTCCCCGGGGGAGGGGGAGCTGGGGCGAGCCCCGTCTCTGATGCCACCAAGGCTGCCCTGCCCCTGAGCATCGCCTCCTAAGAGATGCTAAGAGATGCCTCCTGGCTCCGCGGCGCCCCCCTCTGCTGCCTTGAGGGCCCCCCCCCACATCCTGGCTGAGTGGGCTCTCGAGGAGGGGGCCCCCCAGCCTGGTCACCCGCAGGTGGTGCACCAGGATGGCAAGGGGCTGCCTGGGGCTCAGGCCAGGCCCCTCCCTGCTCTCCCGAGGGTGAGCGGGGACCCCCACCCCAAATCGGCGGGGGTTGGTGGGGGAGGGTGATCAGAGGATGCGGCAACGAGAGGCGTTCTCCTCTGGGGATGGGCCGCGTCTGGCTGCCTCGCTCCGAGCACCCTCGCGGTTGCCCCCCACGCCCGCATCATGGCTCTGGGCCGCGGGTCGCCCCGGGCGGCGGCGTGGCTGCACCCCCCGCCCACCTGCCGGTTTCTGCCCAGAGGCCTCCATCTCGGACAGGCTGTAGGCCATGGCCAGCTGCAGGTCCTCATCCTCAAAAAGGTCAATGTCATTACGGAGTGAGGCGGGGGTCGGCGGCGGCGGCTGCTGCTGTTGCGGCGGCTGCCCCTGTGAGCCCCCGGGCCGGGGGCCGATGGACGGCCCAATGGACGGCTGCAGCTCGCGCCGGCTCAGCTCCAGGGCCAGCGCCAGGTCGTCAGGGATACCTGCGGGGTGAGGGGGGGCGGCGTGAGCTTGGGCGCCTTGCTGTCTTGGGTGGGGGGGGGGCGCGAGAGGCTGCCCCGACGTAAGCGCCCCGACGTGACCGCATGGACGCGCGTGCGCCCCAACGTGCGCGCACGGACACACGTACGCACGGGCCCACGGGCCGCAGCTTGTGGGAAGGGTGAGGCGACGGGAGTGGCAGTCCTCACTAGGGAGGAAGGAGCACATCTTGGCTCACTTGAGTCTCAGTCTTGCCAAATGCAAATGAGGGTGCCAGCAGCCTCCCCTGCTGGTAGCCTGGTAGCCGCAGGTGTGCGCCTCACAACAGGAACACAACCAACTGGACGCCACTGGGCTTCTTGGAGCCAAGACAGCCGGGCCGGCTAGTTCCACTCCAAAACCGGCAGCCCTCCTTCCCTCCCTGCCCCCCACCCCGCGCACTTTGGGGAGGCTTCTCCGGGAAACTGGGGTGCAGAGCCTCACCATTGATGGAGACTGACTTCAGCTGACCGTCCTCCTCCACTTCCACCCGCTCCTGCCCGTTCTCCATGATTCTGCGGGAGACAGCGAGGTTCTCTCAGAGCCCGGCAGGCCGGGGAGAGGGGGTCTAAGCTGTGGTAGTCTCCCACGCCCCCCCCACGCCGCCCCCACCCATGGAAGGTTCCAGAAGGAGGCCTCACCTGCGTGTGGTGATGCGGCGTCCTTGGACAAAGGTGGTGGATGTAGAAACAGAGCGAAAAGCCCCAGCACCGGGACTGAAGGAGAAGGAGGAGGAGGAGAAATCTGGCCAGGAGACAGGATGAGGTGCAGGTTAGATGGGGCGGTCCACACTGCCGCCCCGGAGCAGAGGAGCTGGTTCTGGGGCTCAGGGCCAGCACTTACTGGAGGAGTGGCCGGGGAAGGACGAGAAGGTGAAGAAAGGGCCGGAACGAGGGGACAGGCGGCCCTGCAGCTCGGAGAAGGAGCCCAGGTCATCTGCAACAAGCAAGCACATCAGCCATCAAGCCATCATCCACCGTCTGGAGGAGAGGGGCCCCCCAAGCGGGGGGAACCCTGCTTGACAGCTGGAAATCAAAGCCGCTAAGCACCAGTTTTTGCTGCTTTTTTGCTGGGGCTGATTGGCAAAATGAGTCCCTTAGACATGTGATACATATCCACAATAACGAATAAGATAAGGAGGGAGGAAGGGAAGGGGGGGCTGGGGAGGGACTCGGGGTGCAGGTATCCGGCCCTGTGAATTGCTCAGTGACCATAAGCAAGTTCTTTGTGCCTCCAGTTTACTCATCCGTAACTCGGGACCCAGATGAGTGTAGCCCACCCTGCATTAGCAGCTGCAGGGAGGGAAGATTGTGGCCGATTCCTCACTTCCCCACGTGGCAGCTGCAGTGCTAGGCCGTACCCGTCGCCACGTGACAGTGCTCCGTGGCCAGCCCTGGTGTTGGCCTAACAATGCCCCATTGTCGCGGTCGCTTCAGCAGGCATGACTGTGGCATGTCCCTCGAGGGTCACACAGATTCTAACCTGTGGATGGGGGTTTGCCCCAGTTCCCCCGGGGTCCGGCCCCACCACACTTCCTATTCTAGGGGACACAGCTTCTTTCTTTGCCCGCGGCCCTGGGGTCCCCCTTTCTGTGCAAACAGGACAGCTAGCCAGAGGCCGCGTGAACCCACTCACCAAAGAGTTCGGAGAAAGGGTCTCCGGTCCCGAAGAACTCCCGGAAGACTTCCTCGGGGCTGCGGAAGCTGAAGACGAAGGCAGGGGCCCCGCCCTGGCCAGTATCTGTGCCTGCCCGGGATGGGCCAGACCCTGAAGGAGAGCGGGGAGAGGAGTGGACAGATGTGGCTCACGGCATGACACCGCAAACCCCACCCCGCCCTCCCCAATGCAGGACTGGGAGCTTGGGAGCACGTTGTCCGCGAGCACCGTTCCTCCCCCCTCCTCCCTGACCCACTTCCACTCATCAGGGGCCCTGGGCTCCGCCTACCTGCCCCAGTCAGCCCTTCCCGGCCATAGCGGTCGTAGATTTCCCGCTTATGTTCTGCAAAGAGAGACAGGTCACCTCCCTGTGCCGGGTTAGGACCCTCATGACTACTGGGCAGGGGGGTGGGAGAGAAGAAGGGGTGGGCCGGGGCGTGCACGGGGGACCCAGACTATCATGGGTACAGCAGTTGAACCCTTCCCAGAGGCTCATCCATAAAATGGGTGCAATGAAGCACCAACCTCCCAGGGTGGGGACAAGGACAGAGAGTGCCCATGGGGACAGTCACTGTCCACACTGGTCCATAACTACCACGGTGTTGCGGATGCACCCGGGCCTAGTCTAATCCTCCACCTCACCCGCGGTTCCCTTCCACGTCTCTGCCTCCTCCTCCTGCAGTACTTTTCACAGGAAGTGTTTTTGAGGAGGGGGAGTTGGGGTGGAGGGCTTCCATGTGATGCTCAGGGCCCAATCTAACAAAAGGTTGAATTCGAGGACCGAAGGTTGGGGGCTTCCAGGGTCACACCCCACGATGCTCAGAGATCAGGGGGTGGCGAGGCTTGTGCCTGAACCCCGGCACTCTCTCCCGGGCCCCTCACGTGTACCATCCTGAAGGTGCATGTACTTAGTTAATGCCGGTCTTCCCTGAGCAGAATCAGAGAGTCCCTGGGGGCTGAGACCAGGGTCGGTCCAGCTATCCCTGCCCCTCAGTTCCCCACAAGGGCTTGACACTGCAACCAGCGGAGGAACCCCACTTTGGGAATGAAAAAGAAGCAGAACAGGGTTCCTATTCCGACTCTGCGTGACCTTGAATAAGTTACTGTGCCTCTCTTGGCCTCGGTGTCCTCATCTGTTAAATGGGGGTGATACATCCCACCTCACAGAATGGCAGTATGGACTGACTGCTGCCCTGCGGGGAGCCTTGCCATAAGGACCCAAGTCCCAACCACCCTAATCGGGGTGCAGACATGAGCAGCGGCTGGGTGCAGATGAAGAGGGTGCGAGGGTGCTTTGCGGAGTAGAGCTCCTTTGAACTGGAGCTATAAAAGGGGGGGGGCACTTTAAGTACCAGCTTGGAAATTAAGTGCTAATTAAATTCCAACAGGTGTCCTCCGCCCGCCCCTCCCCCCCCAGCTTTGGGGAGGAGAGGCCTGGAGTCGGAACTGGGTGCCCCCTGCTCTGGCCCGCCCTCCCCGGCCCTTACTGTCCGACAGCACTTCATAGGCCTCGGCCACCTCCTTGAACTTCTTCTCGGCAAACTCTTTATTATCGGGGTTCTTGTCAGGGTGCCACTGCAGAGCCTTCTTGCGATACCTGCAGGAGGCGGGGTTCAGAGGGGAGGACCAGGGGTCCGGCGAGGCTCAGCCCACCGGGCAGAGCTCCACCCACGCTCCCATCAGCCCACCGCGGTTCACCTGCATTCATCCCCACAGGCCCCAGACTGTTTGAATGAAGGCCCTATGGGGGGGCCCTCCACAGCCCCCTCTGGTCCTAGCATATGGTACATGAGGGGGGCGGGCCAAGGAAGGAAGGCTGCCTGCTGCCGTTGCGCAGGGGGTGGACCTGTGGATGTGTGTGGGGGCGGGGGGGGGGGTGGATTGCCGGGCACCGGGCCTCTTGTTCACAGCACTGGGCACCTTTGCAGGCCGCCGAGAAAGGACACAGGTGGGGAGGGGCTGGGGGAGGAACAGGCGCCACATCAGGGCTCTGTCTGTCCTCTTTCAGAGGTGGCCTTCCACGTCACGTCCCGACAGGTGTCATCTGCGACACCCACCCCTTTTCTGAGCACCCCCCCCCTCGGCTGCACACTCCCTCCCCTCCCGGCTGGAGAAGCTGTGAGTGCTCGGCCCGGGCACTTACGCCTTCTTGATGTCATCAGCCGAGGCGTTTGGGGGCACGTCTAGGATCTCGTAGTAGGATGCCATAGCAACTCGTCAGCGTCGCGCGGGCCTCCTGGGGGCTGCGGGTGGGAGAGAAGGCGTCGGACCCGGCCCCGAGCCCCTCCCCGGGGCTCTGGAATCCCCAGCCCTACCACCCCCAACGACCCCCTCCGGGTGGCGGCAGGCGCTCCCGGGTGACAGCGGAGCCCAGCGCGGGACCGCTGACTAAGGCTCCGCCGGGCGGCGTTATCGGGGCCCGCGCAGGCCGGTGTCACGGGCTATCTCGGTGTCCAGGCCCGGGGAGTCCCCCTACGGGAGCCCCGCTCCGGGCCCGACCGGGGATCCCCCGCCCGCACCTCCTCGGCCCGGCGTCCCTGGGCTGCCCCCGCCGGCCGGCTCGCGGCTGCTGCGTAGGACGCGGCGGCCCCGCCGTGCGCCCCCGCCGTGCGCCCCCGCCGTGCGTCAGCGGCGCGGAAACTCCCCGGCACCCGGAGGCCGGCGCGGCTGTCACTCGGGGGCGGGGCGGCCGCGGGAGCTGCCGGGAGAAGGGGCGGGACCCGCGATGTGGGGCTGGTCCCCGGGCGACGTCACGCGGGGCCGGGACGCGGGAGGTCGCGGGGGGGACTCGGCGGGGAGGACGCGCGGCCGCGAGCGGGCCGCCCCGCCTCCGGTCCCTCGGTCGCATTCCCCGTAAACAAGCCTCTGATTGAGGGTTCCCGAGCGCCGCAGGCGAGCGCCACCCCCACGCTGCCCGCCGGGCGCGGAGCCTCCCGTCCCTCACCCGTGCCCCCTAGCTCCTTGGCTTCAGAGGACTCTGTGTGCGCGCGTGTTTGATCGTTTCGTGGAATTCACCCCCTCCCCCCAAGATGTGCATTCCATTGGGGCCAGATTGCAGAGACACTTTTTTTTATTTTTATTTTTTATTTTTTTTGCCCAGAAGCCTAGGAAGGCTAGTGTCGGATTCAAAATTCTATGGGAGTAGAAAGCTGCGAATGTAGCTTTATGGTAGAGCGTTTTGCATATGTGAGGTCCTGGATTAGCTCCTTAGCAACATCAAAACAACTATATATATGTATATATATATATGCATATATATAATAGGGGGGAAATAGGTTAAAAGGGAGGGCAGCGTGATGGTACAGGTACAGTAGGTAGGGCGTTTGCCTGACACGTGGCTGACCCCGGTCCCATATCCGCCACCAAATATGGTCCTCTGAGCCAGCCTGGAGTGATTCCTGAATGCAGAGCCGGTAGTATGGCCTGAGCACCAAACCCGGCTCAGTCCCCCAAAAAGTAGGTTAAGAGGGGAATGGGAAAAGAGAGCTCAACAGGCTGGAGACAGCATGCTTTGCTAGGTTTAATTCCCCAAAGCCGTGGTCCTTTGAGCACTGCCAGGAGCGAGCAGCAAGCAAGGAATCAGAGTAGACTGAGCACGGGAGCTGTAACCCGAAATCCACACCCCTCCCCCCAAATATGTTATGGTCAGAGGATGTAGCTTAGGGGTAAAATACATACTTTATGCCTATAAGGCACTGGGTCCCTACAGCCCAAACAAAATTGTGTTGATACAAAAAGTGTACCCCCCAAATCATCAAGAAAAACATAAATAACCCAATAAAAACAAGGCCCTTCATAAAAGGAAATAGATGAATGTCCATCTAGCAGATGAAAAGCTTCCCCACATCATTAGACAACAGCAAAGTAGAAATTAGTTACCATGAGCTACAACAGCCCTGCCAGAAAGGTTAAAATTAGAAACCAGGATAATAGCAAGTATTTGAATATGAAAGAACTCAGATTTTTATATCTGGCCTCTGGCAGCACTGGAAGTATAAAATGATTAGGTATAAAATGGCATAAAATAAACATGGAAGAAAAGATTTAGCCTCTGATATACATAAACATCTTGCATTTAAAATCAAAGCATTTGTGTATGTTTGGGTGATTCATAATGAACAGATTTGAATCTCTTGTTGATGTGTGTATGTGTGTGTGTGTGTGTGTGCGCGCGCGCACTCACACACTGAGCATGCACCATCCAGTGTGCTCAGGGCTTACTCCTGGCTCTGCATTCAGGGATTACTCATGAAGGGTTCAGAGGACCCTTTGGGGTGCTGGGGAATGAACCCAAGTAGGCCTCACCTCATACAAGGCAAATGCCTTTACCTGCTGTACTATTTCTCTGACCCCTCCTGTCAATGATTTTGACAAATTTGGAGGCAGTGGGGTAAAAGGGGACTATATATATATATATATATTTCTAATTTGATCCTAAATTGACCTCTTCTATCTGTAAATGATGCCTGACTTCAGGTCTTCTGGAAGATTATAGAGAACCTTCCAAAATCTGGCTACTACTTGAAATTAACCAAACCAACTCCCCCCCCCTCCCCCCCCCTCATTAATTTAACATCTTCTACATTCTAGATGCAACCCACATATATAAAGAACATAGCTCAGTCCCCACCTTCACAGAGTTCTAACTCGGCAAGACAGCAGCCTTGCTCTCCTGGGGACTCTAGGCAAACACCAAGGCTTCAGAAACAGACAGACCTGGGTTTGTAACCCTCACTAATGTGATTTGGGAAGATCTCTGAGCATTCTTTTTCCTCCCTAAAAATGGGTTTGACTTTGGGCAGTTGGAAAATCCTCTGAGGCATAGTACCTAGTAGAGTTTAGTACAAATTCTCTCTGACCCAGAAACGTTTCACCAAAGAGAAACGCTTAGGCCAGACTCAAGAGATGTGTGTGTGTGTGTGTGTGTGTGTGTGTGTGTGTGTGTGTCTGCCTGTCTGTCAGTCTGTCTGTCTGTCTACACATTAGCCCGTTTGCCTGCTTTTCCTAGCTGAGCTTATGACCTACATTTGAGGAATTCCATTGCATAGGCCTTGCTGGGAGGCAGGTCGCCACCTGCCATAGAACCCCAGTGCTTGCTCTCCCAGACTTGTCGGCTCCGAGGATGCAGACAAAAGACATAAGCTCTGCCAAAGCCGAAGCTCCAACTGGGACTTGGAATCTGGAGCAACTCACCGAGAAGCAGAGGCAGTTGAGAATTCGGTCCTGGGGCCCTGGCAGAGGGGCCAACAGCGGCCCCTAGTGTCTGGAGGAGGAAATGTCTGTCACTGTTTGGATGGGAGGGGGCCTCCTAGGAGAGATGAAGAGAACTGGGGGTTTTGGAGCAAAACTGTGGAGTGCCCTGGGCTTGACTAGGGTGCCGGCTCCCCAGATTCCCATTCAGGAGCCTTGTTTTGCAGCACTCGTGTTTTTTTTTATGTCCTATTCAATATCTCAGGCTGGAGCGATAGCACAGTGGGTAGGGCGTTTGCCTTGCAAGCCGCCGGCCGGCCGAGCCAGGTTCGATTTCTCCGCCCCTCTCGGAGAGTCCGGCAATCTAACGAGAGTATCTCGCCCGCCCGGCAAAGCCTGGCAAGCTACCCGTGATGTATTCGATATGCCAAAAACAGTAACAACAAGTCTATTTGTTGTGAGATGTTACTGGTGCCCACTTGAGCAAATCGATGAACAACGGGAGGACAGTGCTACAGTGCTACAGTTCAATATCTCTTCAATTTAGAAGGGAGGTAAAGGTAAAGGTAAAGGCCCTCCCGTTGATCGTCGATTTGCTCGAGCGGGCCCAGTAACGTCTCCCTTGGAGACTTTGTTGTTACTGTGTCTGGCATATCGAATACTCTCGGTAGCTTGCCGGGCTCTCCGAGAGGGGCGGAGGAATCGAACTCGGGTCAGCGATGTTGGCCGCGTGTAAGGCAAACGCCCTACCCGCTGTGCTATCGCTCCAGTCCCTTAGAAGGGAGAGGGCTTGGTAATTTTTGGTCTTTGCCAGAATTAGTTTCTGCTGTCTACAAGGATGCTAAAAAGTTGCTTGGGTGAAAGCAGACGGAATTGGATAAATCATTTAAAATGTTACAAGTCTCTGGGCCTGGAGCAATAGCACAGTGGGTAGGGCACTTTTCTTGCACACGGCTCACCCAGGTTTGATCCCTGGTACCACTTAGCCTGGCAGGCTACCCAGGGCATATTCAAAATGCCAAAAACGGTAACAACAAGTCTCACAATGGAGATGTTCCTGGTGACCGCTGAGCAAATCGATGAACAACGGGAGGACAGTGCTACAGGAGTGATCCCTGAGCGCTGAGCCACGAGAAAACTCTGAGCACCGACAGGTGTGCCTCCCACACACCAAAAAAAAAAAAAAGTAGGGGCCAGGGATGTGGTTCAGTGGTAGAGCACTTGCCTGTGCATGGGAGGCCCTGGCTTTGGTCCCCGACACTCTGCACCGTCCTCTGGAACATCACTGGGAGCCCCCAAGCACTGAGCTGGAATAGCTGCTGAACACTGGCATGTGTGGCCAAATAAGTAAACTAGATTAAGAGCAGTAATATAAATAAAGAACCACACTGGGGTGGGGAGGGGAGAATGAGAGAGTACAGTTTGGGGGTAAGGAGCTTACCTTGTATGCACCTACCATGGTTGGATCCTCAGCACAGAGTCCAGAGCCAGGAGAAGCCCTTGTGCGCTGCTGGGTATGGTCCAAACACAGGAAGGAAGGAAGCAAGGAAGGAAGGGAGGGAGGGAGGGAGGGAGGAAGGAAGGAAGGGAGGAAGGGAGGGAGGGAGGAAGCGAGGGAGGGAGGGAGGGAGGAAGGAAGGAAGGGAGGGAGGGAGGAAGGAAGGAAGGAAGGAAGGAAGGGGAGAGAGGGAGGAAGAAAGGAAGGAAGGAAGGGAGGAAGGGAAAAAAGGAAATAAAGAAAAAAGAAAGAGGGAGGAAATGAAAGAAAACACAGAGAAGAAGGAAGTTTGTTATTTCTGTGTTCAGGGAAATGAAAATCTAGCTTTGTAATTATCTCCAACAAAGATTTCGCAAATAATGCTAGCTAATATGACACATGATGCAATTTTTTCTTTTGGTGTGGCATACATGGCAGTGCCTCTGTGCTCAGGGATCACTCCTGGTGATGCTCAGGTGACCATATGCAGTGCAAGGAAGTAAACTGGGATCATCAGCATTCAAGGAAGATCCCTTAAGCCCTATACTAACCCTCCAGTCCAATGCAATTTTTAAAAAATATGCAAAGACAGAGATAAAGAGTTTACCAAGAGAGGAAATATAGACTTTGTTTTGCAGCCACACCCTGGGGTGTGCTCTGGGCTTAATTCTGGCTCTGTGCTCACAGATCACTCCTAGAAGGGCTCATGGGACCATATAGGGTGCCAGGGATCAAACCCAGGCCAGCCGCATGCAAAGAAAATGCTCTACCCACTTCACTATTGCTCTGCCCCTAAAGATTGGCTTTTAAACATAAGAGAAGATGCTAAATCTTACTTCGAATGGATTTAACGGAAAGTGGCAGTAAAATACTTTGTTTCACTGTAGCACTGCCCTGTTGCACTGTCCTCCAGCAAAATTGATTTGCTGGAGGGGGCCCAGTACTGTCTCCATTGTGAGACTTGTTGTTACTGTGTTTGGCATATGG